ATCCAAGGCAGATTATAAATAGACAGAAATAAATCTTACACACAGAGTTCTTAAACTCCTGGTTTAATTAGCAAAAGATACATAACTGTATAGGAGGCAGGGTGGCCACCCAATCAGAGCAAATGAAGAAATAAAGCATATCTTTGATTACTTCCCTTGGCTTACCAGAATCCTTAATGGGAGTCATGCACCTGCTGGTGAAACTATGGATGAAATATCTGCCCTTACTGAATCTGAAACATTTAATTCTTGCTCTGTTCTTATTTTCCAATATAATTACTTCTAAGAGTGTACACTGGCCATCAAACCCAGGCATTCATAAAATTCTTATGAAATTTGTTCTCTCTTGGCTCTTGAACCAAAATCAGTATCAGCAAGGCAACATGCCCTGGCTTTCTGGGGCAGCACATACAACCAGCTTTCCATCGTTCCAGAAAGCCCATTTTATGGCAGTCCCAGCTGAAAAGACTTAGCCTGCTCCGGGTGTGGTGTCTTTTTTTCTCATGACTGCCAGATTTCATGCTCCATTTTACTTGGGATTTGATGTTTAGACTTCCCTTTTGTTTATCAAAAAGCTTAGTTGTTTATTCCAAAATGAAGGTTTCTCTTTCCTGGCTCAACTAGATCACTTTTTCCAATCATATATTCAAAACCACTTATCAGGCTTCCATGTTCAGTATGTGCTATGCTCAAAAATGAGTATCACACAGCCTCTATGTGGTCTGTTGGAATAGGTCATATCCAGTCCTGTCTTCTCTTTTGTAAAGTCATATGCCTCTCCATCTCTGAACCAGACTGTTTTTTAATACTTGAGCCAAATCCCCTTTTGTTATATAAAATGTGTAAAGATCTACAGTGTGCTTAACACTAAATCCAAGATTGACATGTTAGTGGTCTGCCCACATCTCATGAAAATGTGGAGTCTGGAAATGTTTGTAACAGACATGGCATTGGATTGCTCTTCTCCCATGAGTACCTGGAACTGGGTTTCCTGTCAAGCACGCACCAGATCTCCCACACATACTCTGTGGTCTCACTGCATCTATTCACTAGATGCATCATCGAACCACAGACAGCGAACATCTAAACCAGCACCTGTTTGGTTTCCCAGCTGCCAAACAGAAATGCCAAAAGGGAAATACAAAAAGATGCTTGAATAATCAGCCTTTTCTTTTCTTCATGTGATGCTAACTTCTCATCCAGGTTATTTGAGTCTACTAATATGTCTCTGTGCATCCTCCTATATTGCTAACCTCTCACTCATCACCTACATCCAAGAGATCATCAGTTGCCACCAGTTTTACCTCTTGGCCATTTCTGAATCCATATCTTTTCTATCATGGCTACCACTGATCTTTCCATCTTTCATTTTAACTCATCTCCCTGCCTCCCAGGCAATCTTCCCTCGAATCCATTCTCCTTGCTACTTCCAAAATTATCTATCTAAACTTGAATTCCTTCATTAGTTGCTCACTAAATGCAAAATAAGATCTTTTTGTACAGAAAAAAAAAAATCCGCCTTTGTCCTGCTTCCTCCCCTCCTTCCTAGCTCCTGTTCCCCCATTTTGATCTCTTAATTCCTCTCTTCTTGACAGGACACTGCTCTGTTCCTGACATCCCTACTTACTCATACTTTTCCTTTGGAACCTTACACCCTTATCCTTGTTTGTCTGGATTAACTTCAACCCACATTACAAGACTCGTCTTGGGTGTTATCTCTAGGGATCGGCACCAACCCACTGTCACCCTGAGGAAGGAGAAGCATCCTTCCATATTTCTGTTGCACTCAATGGCTGCACACACCACTATTGCATTAAAACAACAGTGAAAGCTCATAAAAGGCAGAGACTCTGTTGTCTGTTGTTGATTACATTTTTGTTATAAAATAATCCAGAGACACAAAATATAAAGATTAAATAACTACCACCCAGCTTAGGAAATAAAACAATACTGACATAATTGAAATGCTCTTGTTTTCATCATTTATACAGTGCCTCATGCATCTCCTGGTCCATCATTAGTATTCAGGAGGTGTTTGTCAAACTGAGGTGAACAACATCACAAGAATGATATTCTGTCTTACACATTAGATGTTACTGTCGAACAGGTGCTTTGATAAGGTTTCCAGCCACAGAGAGAGAGGGACTGGGTGCTAAGATAGTTATTGCTTTCCCTTGCTTTTTCTCCTTTGAGACCAGGGGAATGTTGTTGAAAAAGTTTCGATCTAGTTGGGGTCAGAGTCACTAAGCCAGTGTAAAGCTTACTAATTCACAGAGAATCTAACCCTTTCTTTTGCCCTTTTTGTCACCAAGTGCCAACTAACTGAACCACATTATACTCTCAGGGTCTCCTCACCCAAAAGTAGTTGTAGCCTGAGAGTCCCAGACTAGCACAGAGAAGGTGATTACTCTGACTCACCAAACATTAGGGCACATTAATGACCCCATGGATCCTGCAAGCATTTGGAGGCAGAAATAGAGGAAACTTCTCAAATATTTGAACAGCCTCTGCCTGTGTCAGCACAAAACCCCCTCTGGCAGTTCAGTTTCCTGCTCCAGCATGGCCACCTACATCACACAATGAGTGACAGGAACACTGTCAGGAGAAATTGGGGAAACAAATCTGAAAAAGCAAACCTTATTTCCAATTTAAAGGTATTCATCCCGAGATCCTCCATCTGGTGATCATCTTCTGGGTTCTTGAGATCTTGTCACAAACACCACCAAGTTAGGAACATGGGAATGGTCTGTAAATGGCCTGGAGGCTTTCAACATTCTGGCACTGAGGGTTTCCCATAACCCAGAGTAAGCAAACTTTCTCTGAAAGAATCAGAAAGTAAATGTTTTCAGCTTTTCAGGCCATCCTGTTTCTGCCACGACTACTCAACCCAATTCACTATAGTGTGAAAACAGCCAGATAGCAACTAAATGAGTGAATGTGGCAATGGCCAATAAAACTTTATTTATGAACAGTAAAATTTGAACTTTGTAATTTTCATGTGTCATTAAATATTAGTACTTCAATTTTTTTTTCCATCATCAAAAATTAGCTTGCATGCCATACAAAAAAGAGCAGAGGACCATGGTTAGCTGGCAGACCCTAATTTGCTTCCTCAGTATCCATGATCTCATTCATAAAACACAAAAAAGGCATAAACCTATTTTAAATAAGAGAAAGATGAAGAATTCAGACCTATTATTAGAGATGATAAGACCGAAAGGAATCCAATTTCTCGCTGGAGGGCTCTAGGATATTAATAGATAAGGAAATGCAGATTGTGAGAGAGGCGAAGGAGAAAAGACAGCCACTACAGGCAGTCAGCCCCTAAGCTGATGGGAATGGCTTATGCCAATTCTATTGGAGTATTTCTCTTTTTAAAGAACTTGGAGCTTGTCCAGTGTTGATCAGTGAATGAGCATCAGTCTTTGAGCTAGGAGGTCATGGTTTGATTCTAAGTTCGGGCAAATGCCCAACTGTGGGCTCCATCCCCAGTAGAGGGTTGTGCAGGAGTCAACCAATCAATGATTATCTCTCATTATTAATGTTTCTCTTTATCTCCCTCTCCCTCTCCCTTTTTCTTTTTCTTCTCCTTCCCTCTCCCTCCCTGAAATCAATACAAATATATTTTTTTAAATATATGCTTAAAAAAAGACTGCCCAGAACTTACTGAATCCAACACATGCTAAATGTTATTTCTTTTCCTCACAATTTTCTCTGACCCGTTTTTTATCAAAAGAGTATGAAATAGGTTATTCTACTAATGAGATATTTACTTTGATAAGTTATAGCACAGATTGTTTTATATGCATGCTATGAAACAACTTACTGAATGGAAATTAAATCAAGTTCACTCAATTAAGGAAGAAAGGTAAATGATCACTTTCATGATAATTTTTTTTTCTATTTGGACCTTTTAAATGATTAAGTCTAATTAGTATAAAACTCTTAGTAAATGCCCGGCTGAATTAGCATTGTCGAACTAAGTAGGCCAGACACTGTCAGAGAGTTAGCATGAGTTTCCTCCAGACACAGTGGTTCTGGGAAGTGCAGAGCCTCAGTGATGAGGGGAGTCATAGTTCCTGATTGCTCTGATACAGGCCTTTGCCAAGCCACCCATCTTTGAGGCCCTCAACCCAGTCCTCAGGGAAGCATCATGGGGAGGGTGGCCCCCGGGGCTCTGCCGCCTCAAACATTTCTATGACGCCATGTTGGTTGTGGAGCAAGGAAGAAACGTGAATGTGAAGAACTCTAAGGAGGAGCTTGTATGTGATTCCAGGTCCACATAGTTTCCATGCCCACCTAAAGCCTTATACTGGAAAGCTTTTCTGATACCCATAGAATATCCTAGAGAGAACCACATGCACCCTTTCATCATGCCCACTGTTTCAGATGGTAGCTATGGCAACGCTGAGCTGTTCTTACCTCCCTCAAGCTCATCTCTGTTATTGAGAAAACTTGTGTCAGTATCAGCCACACAACTATCTTATACCTCCCAGTATGTCTCCATTTCTTCTCCGTTTCCTCCTTTCCATGGCCAACTCTTCCATCTAAGCTAGGAACCCACGTCCTGGTTTCTGATTCAGAATTTTGTTCTATTCTGTCTCTCCTTTCCATTTCTGAATCTCCCTCACAGTTTTCACATCCTCACACCCACATTTACTTTTTTCATTTATGTTTTGCTATATTTCTTTGATAAAATATGTTGGATATACAGAAAATAATAAAACAAACACCCATGCAATTATGGACAGTGTTGCAAAGAAGAAACCTCTGGTGTGCATGTGCAAGTTTCTTTACACTCGGGCCCAAAACTTAGATTACCGAATTATCTGGTTTGTGCATTTCAACCTGACAACAAAGGGCCAAGTTGCTCCCCAGAGTAGTGATACAGATATGCTCTTTGACCAAAACCTGTTTCTCCCTAAGCTCCCTAACATTTGGTTTGTCCGGCATAAATTTTGCCAATGGGTCTGAAATGAAATACCATTGCTTGCCTTTCCCTTATGACTTGTGACCGTGGCACATCTTCTCAAGGGTTCCTTGACTATTCCCCTTCTGTGATTTGCCTACTTACATATTTCCCCTTTAGCTCTCGATTCTTTGTCTTTTTCTTATGGATTTGTAAGTGTTCTTTATACATTCTGGATACTATCTCTTTGTTCATTATACAGTTTGAAGTCTGTATCTGACTCTTATCACACTGGTTTAGTTTATGTTGTAAAACTTACTCTTTTTACCTCCCTCAAGCTCATCATCTGTGCTTCTTGTGCTGTGTCAGAAACTTTGTCCTATCCGACACCATAAAAAATAAATAATCTCATGTATTTTATTTTTAAATTATTACTATTTTACTGCCGAAACCAGTTTGGCTCAGTGGTAGAGCATCGGTCTGCGGACTGAAAGGTCCCGGGTTCGATTCCAATCAAGGGCATGTACTACCTTGGTTGCGATAGGGGGTGTGCAAGAGGCAGCTGGTCTATGTTTCTCTCTCATTGACGTTTCTAGCTCTCTATCTCTCTCCCTTCCTCTCTGAAAAAACTCAATAAAATATATTTTTTAAAAATTATTACAATTTTACTTTTCATATTCATGTCTTTAATTCACCTGAAATATATTTTCATATTGCATTCTAATTTTAACTTTTAATATTAATATTGAAATACCCTAATATCACATTGATTTAGTCCATCCCTTATCTGCACACTGGGGTGGGGGGGAGGGGGGGGAGTGTTTTGTTGTTTTTTTAAAATATATTTTTATTGATTTCAAAAAGGAAGGGAAAGGAAGAGAGAGAGAGAAACATCAATGATGAGAGAATCATTGAGTGGCTGCCTCCTGCCCACCCCCTATTGGGGATCGAGCCCACAACCTAGGCATGTGCCTTGACTGGAATTGAACCAGGGAACCTTCAATCTCAAGCCAGTGCTCTATCCACTGAGCCAAACCAGCTAGGGCTGCACACTGGTTTTTAATATCAATTTCTTACTTATATCTGGGTCTGTTTCTATGTGTTTCACTCATTGTTCTGTTTACCCCAGCAACAACTTCACATTTTAACTATTTAACGATAGCATAGCTTTATGAGGAGACTTGATTTCTGGTGGGGCAAGTCCCTCCTCTGGTTCTTCCTCACAAATATCTTGGCCATTTTTCACCCTTTGCTCTTCCATATAAAGTTTAGAATATGCTTGTCAAGATCAAAAACAAAACCTACTATATCTTTTTATTGGAATTGCATCTTTATGATACTGGTAATACTGAATCACCCACCCGTGAACACAGTGTTTCTCTCCATTTATTTAGGGTTTTATTTATTCTCTTTAATAGTATGCTATAGTTTTTACATCAAGATCTTGCACATTTTTTGTATATTTATAACAGCTTACCTTATTTATTTATTTATTTATTTATTTATTTATGGTATTTTAAATAACTTTTAAAAAACATGTTTTGCTGAAGTACAGAAATGCCATTTTATTTCCAATTTTTATTTTATATCTAGCAGGCTTATTGTCGAATATTCTTATGAGTTCTGATAGCTTATGTGTATATTCTCATATTTAATGATCCTTATTTTTTAACTATTCTTATACATTTAATTTATTTTTCTTAACATTTTTAAAAACTCAGGACATCCATATAATAGATAAAAACAGAGATGTCACGCTTCTCTTGTTCCTGATTTGAAAGACAATATTTTAGTTTTTCAGCATTGGTTATGATGTTTGCTTTGGGTCTGGGATAAATATCTATTATGAGATTAAGAGAAATTTCAATTATTCCTAGTTTGCTAACAATTTTTAGAAAATGTGTATGTCTATTTTGATGGTCATATTGCTTTATTTTTTAATCTATTCATAAAGTGAATGTTTTCATTTATTTTTCTAATATTTAACAATCCTTGCATTTCTAGGATATACCCTGCTTTCGTTTTACTTATTTAGTTAGGATTTTAAAATTTTTTTATTCATCATCTATTATTCATTAATATAGTATTAACTTTCATATTTTGACAGTCTGGTAAAAAAAAAAACAGTATTAGTAGGAGTAATTTCAAAATGCATTTATATTATTATGAGTGAGGTTGAGTGTCTATATATTTTCCAATCATTTGCATGACTTGAACAAACAAAAAAGTAACTAAGCATAGTTTCAATGTGCATTTCTGTTACTACAAATGAGCATTTGTTCATGTTTAAAAACACTTGTACTTTCTGTACTGTGAACCCTCTTTTCATACTCGTTATCCCATCTTTCTGTTGAATTATTGATCTTTTCCTTCATTTGTGAAGAATTTCTTTTATATACACATGGAGAGTGTGTGTGTGTGTGTGTGTGTGTGTGTGTGTGTTCATATTTTAAGGAGATTAGCTATTTAACTATAATTTGAATTAAACTTAGTGACTATAAAAATCTGCTCAGCCATCAGAAAAGATGAAATACTGACATTTGCGACAACATGAACAGACCTTGAGAATATAATGCTAAGCAAATAAGTCAGACAGACTTAGGATTTTACTTATTCATAAATGACTTCACTTATTTATCTTTTAACTTATAAAATTATTTTATTTATTCATTTTATAACTTATAACAGTTTGAACCCTTTTACCAACCTCTCCTCACCCCTCAGCCCCTGGCAATTCTTTCTTTCTTTCTTTCTTTCTTTCTTTCTTTCTTTCTTTCTTTCTTTCTTTTTCTTTTCTTTCTTTTTTTTTTTTTTTTTTTTTTTTGAGATTCCACATATTCTTTTTTTTCCCTTTCTTTTGTTGAGAACATTTTAGTTCTACTCTCCTAGCAAATTTCAATTATATAATACAGTGTTATCAACTATAGTCACTAAGTTACACGTTAACTCTTCAAACCTTACTCATCTTTTTTTCTCTACTGCATTTTTATTTAATTAATTTTTAAATTAAATTTATTGGGATGACATTGATTAATAAAATTATACAGGCTTCAAGTGGACAAGTCTATGATACATCATCTGTGTGCCCACTACCCAAATCTTTCATCACCCTATATTTGACCCCCTTTACCCTTTACTATACCTCCAACCCCTTCCCTTTGGTAACCACTATAGTGTTATCTGTGTCTATAAGTTTTAGTCTTCTTGTTTTTCTTGTTTGCTCATTCATTGCTTTAAGTTTTATGTCTCACATGGAATCTGCTCAGCCATCAGAAAAGATGAAATACTAACATTTGCGACAACATAAACAGACCTTGAAAATATCATGCTAAGCAAATAAGTCAGACTTAGGATTTTACTTATTCACAAGTGATTTCGCTTTTTTTATCTTTTAACTTATAAAATTATTTTACTTATTCATCTTATAAGTTATAAAAGTTTGAACCCTTTTACCAATCTCTCCTCACCCATCAGCCCCCACAACTACTTTTGTATTCTCTGTTTCTATGAGTTTGACTTTTTCTTTTTCTTTTCTTTTTTTTTCTTTTTTCCTTTTTGAGATTCCACATATAAATGATACCAGGTGATATGTGTCTTTCTGGCTTATTTCACTTAACATGATATGCTCTATTTTCATCCAGGTTGTCGCAAATAATAAGATTTCCTTCTTTTTAAGGCTGAATAATATTTCTATGTACATATATACAGCGTATTTTCTTAAATCATGCATCCTTTAGTGAACACAGGTTATTTCAAGCCTTGGCAACTGTAAATAATAGTACAATGATGTGAATAGTACAACAGTGAAAGGGAAATCAGATATCCTTTCAAGATAATGGTTTTGTTTCCTTTGGATATATACTCACAAGTGGGTTTGCTGGATCATGTGATAGTTCTGTTTTTAATTTGAGGAAGCATACTGTTTTCCATAGTGGCCATCCCAGTTAACAATCCCACTAACAGTGCACAAGGGTTTTCTTTTCTCTAAATCAGGCGTCTTCAAACTACGGCCCGCGGGCCACATGCGGCCCGCAGAGGAGTCTGATCCGGCCCGCCAGGTTTTTTGGGCAGTGAGCGCAGCCGAGGTGTTACAGTAGGAATTAGTAGTTCATATAGTCCGGCCCTCCAGCTCTCTGAGGGACCGTGATCTGGCCCCCACTTTAAAAAGTTTGAAGACGCCTGCCTAAATTATCATCAACACTGTTATTTTTTGTTTTGTTTTATAATAGCTGTTCTAATAGGGGTCAGGTAATATCTCACTGTGGTTTGATTTGCATTTTTCTGAGGATTAGTGATGTTGAGCATCATTTCATGTACCTGTTAGCCACTTGTATGTCTTCTTAGGAAAGCATATATTTCCTAATTGTTTGGGAGGGTTTTCTTTTGTTGCTGTTATACTTTGCCTATGGTGTTTTCATTATGTAATTTTATGTAAAATTTATCAATTTGTAAGTACCAAATTTATCTTATAAAAATATCAGTGTTGAATTATAGTAGAAAGTTCTTCCCCACTGAGAGATTGTAAAATATTCCCCTCATTTTTTCTATAATTTTTATGATTTTATTTTTTTATAGTTGAGTCGTAATTCCATTTAGGGTGTAACCTGGTTTCCAGTGGAATATAAAGATCCAATCATAACTTTTTTCTACATCCCAGTTTTCCCAATACTATGTATTGAATGTTCATCTTCTCCCCACTGAGTTAAGATGTCAGACTTACACTAAATTTCCTGTCCTGGCCCCTTTTTCACTAATAAAAAGTGATAGGTCATTTTTAAATTTAATTTTAATTACAGTTTACATTCAATATTAATTTGTATTTGTTTCAGGTGTACAGCATAGTGTGATAGCTCATTCTTCTTAAATCTATAGACTTAAATATATAAGTGGCCCTTTTAACGAGGTCATATAGCTACTTTACATCTATTTTATTTCTCCTGCTAAATATTAAGCTTTTTATCAGCACAATTTCTAGAACAGTAGTTAGTAAGTACAAGCTTTAAGGAAAAGAAAAAAAGACGACTGAAAATTCTTGGGCTACTAGCTGCTGACCCAGGATAAGATGCTACCATGCACCCTGTTCCATCCTGTAAGGTGTTATTTTCCTGCCTGGGTTTGGAGGAGATAAGTATCTGTAAAGTTTCTTCAGCCAAAGTGGTGGAGCATGGCCTAAAATCCAAAGGACCTGTGTCCCAAGATTGAAAAATACCATGTCCAATTGTATCGTGCAGACAGATGCCATAACTGTCCATCTGCGCTCCATTTCTTCCCAGGAGAGATCCCAGATCTCTACTCTGATGATGAAGTTGAAAACATCGTAAGCAATGTGAGGAATGAAGTCAAGAGCCAAGGTCTCGTTGACAACAGAGAGAACTGCTGGAAATTCTTTATAGATCGGGTCCGACGACAGCTGAAGGTATAGAAGAGTTTACTGCCGAGGGTCGACAGGACCAGAGCTGGTCCATGAAAGCCCCATAATATACTGGACACAGCTGTCCCAACTGATTGTCTTGAGAGTGGGAGCTGAGGGTACAGTGCCCTTCTCAGCCTTTTCAAGGATCCCTTCTCATCTGTTTCGTGGGCAGTGGCCTCCCTCTTGCCTCATACAGTCTAAGTTTCCCACTTCCATGGCTTGAAAAGCTGGCTGTCAATTACAGTTTTTTGTCTCTGTTGGATGTGTTTCTCCATTTCCTGGGACATTAAGAATCCCAGGATGTATCTGTCTCTCCATGAGTACTTCTCTGATACCTTTTGGTTCTCCCATCTTTCTGACTTCTCAGGTGACTCTCTGCTTCTCCCCTGTGGGGAACAAGCTGAGGGTCCGCAGCAGGAAGTTCCCCGCCATTGTGAACTGCACGGCTATCGACTGGTTCCACGAGTGGCCTCAGCAGGCACTGGAGTCTGTCAGCCTCCGCTTCTTGCAGAACACGGAGAGCATTGAGGTGAGAGGGCCAGGGAGACGCTCCTCCAGATTCTTCCCACCTTAGGGTACAAGGAATTCCATGTTCAGAATTCCAGCGTCCAAGCTCAGATAGAGTTGTGGGAACAACTTTCCATGTGGGGAAGCAGTAAGGGGTGGATTACCCCCAGTCTTCATGGAGAGAGGATCTCTTTATTTCCTGCTCTTTGATTTTTAGCCCACAGTCAAGCAGTCGATTAGCAAGTTCATGGCTTTTGTCCACACCAGTGTCAACCAGACATCCCAGTCTTATCTGAGCAATGAGCAGCGCTACAACTACACCACCCCCAAGTCGTTCCTGGAGTTCATCAGACTCTACCAGAGCTTGCTGCGCAGGAATGGCAAAGAGCTCAAGTCCAAGACGGAGCGGCTAGAGAACGGGCTGCTGAAGCTCCACAGCACCTCTGCCCAGGTAGTAACAGCCTTTCAATCGCTCCTGCCCCTGGGGGGGAGCAGCTTCTTTCAGAGAACTGGAGGGACCTCACTTGAGGTCCAAACGTGAGTCATGGTTTTCTGGAGGCCCCAGCATTCTCAGAAACAGTACCAGAGTGAATGTCAACCTCTCCCACAGAAGGGCACATCCTCACCTTCAGGTCTGATCTGCTCCCTCTCCCTGCTACTGGCATCCCGGAGAGCTCCTCTGCTCTCTTCCTCTTTGTCATCTCTTCCTTTTGCACGGCTTTCCTCACCAGTCTATTTCCCTTTTGTCTTCAGAACCAAACGGAAATGATTGAAAGAAATGGTTACAGCCGAAACCGATTTGGCTCAGTGGATAGAGTGTCAGCCTGTGGACTGAAGGGTCCCAGGTTCAATTCCAGTCAAGGGCATGTACCTTGGTTGCAGGCACAGCTCTGGTAGGGGGTGTGCAGGAGGCAGCTAATCAATGTTTCTCTCTCAACGATGTTTCTAGCTCTCTCTCCCTCTCCCTTCCTCTCTGTGAAAAATCAATAAAAATTAAAAAAAAAAGAAAGAAAGAAATGGTTACAGGGTTCTACCAATTTTCTTTTGTTTCTTTTGTCCTATGGTATTACCTATCAAAGAGCCACTGAAACGTAGTTTCTCAAACAAACCCTGTCTCATTTCCTGCATTTCCTCAGATATTTCTAAGTGGTTGGCCATCAAAAAAGGCCCCTGTTGCCTTGTCCTTGTTCTAATTTTCTACTTGTCCAGATGGAACAAGTTTATTTCAGTCAACACACTGCTCTTCCCTGGAGAGCTGGGACACCTCTAGCCCCTCCTCTGCCCCTGCCCATCAAACACTGCTGATCTTTGATGGCTCCTTTCCGGGATCTGTTTAGCCACAGCAGAACCGGTCTCTCATTGTGGTGATGAGATTCCATTCACTTGCACAATTAAACTGAAATTGTGATCACTTTACCTGTTGGACATCACATGTTCCTATAGCTATCTAAGCCCTTCAGTTACTGTCATTTTCTGAGCTTTGCTTCTGGGATAGCTGTATTGAATACCCTTTCTTCTGATTTGTTCTTTCTCCCCACTTCAGTTTTTTTTATTATTATTATTCATAGCTAAAGGATTTCAGTTCATTTAGTGCAGGGGTGGGGAATGTCCAGCCTGTGGGCCCTGTAAGGCTCACAAAATCATTTGGTCTGGCCCTGCCAAGGCATTAGG